GTCATGGGACACCCTGCATTTGATAATTGAGAGAAACATACTTTATTGTCTAAGAAAACAGAATTTCTTATTGACAATGTATAGTGTTCAAAATTAAATAAAAGTGTCTAACATAACATAAATATATACAACTAAAGTAATAATATAGAATAAACTTATTGAAAGCGCAAAAGGACAATAAACAGTACACATTAAAAATTGAATTGAACAATTGTCATAGCAGATCAATATTATGTATACTATTTGAAATAGTATATGTTGAGGTCATAACAGAGTTTCATTATAGAAATCCTCAATGATATAGTAGGTTTTTTTCAAAAGAGCATCTTTCACCAGATTTCTAAATTTACTGATGATCTTCTATAGGTTCGGTGGGTATATGGTTATAAATCTTTTTACTTACAAATATTACAGAAAATTTTGTCAAACTAGACTTTGGGATGGGTAGAGCAATTTTCCTCTTTGTTATTTGTCGGGTCACATGATTTGTTTTTACTGTAGTCTCAGCCATACACATTTTGTGGAACAGACATAATGTTTATAATATAAATAAACTTGTCAGAGTGAGAATTCCTAAGTTTCAAAGCAATGGTCTGCATTACTCTCGAACACCTGCCTTGCCTAAGTACCTTATAGCACGTTTTTGCAGTACAAACACTGAATGAAAAAGTTGTTGGCTACAACATTCCCAGAAAGCTATTCCACATCTCATATGAGATTCAATCAGAGAGTGATAGACCATTTTTGCCGTAGATGAACCCAATTCATTAGTGACAATTCTGAGAGCGTAACATCCGGATGCCAATGTTTTAGTTAGAGCTGCAACATGCTGATCAACTTCCAATTTCTCATATAAAGATATTCTTAGGAATTTTGTATATTTTTTGTTTTCTTGAATTTTTCCGTTCAAGCTTAAATTGTTGCAGTCAAAGCTAAAGCCCATTATATATTTTTTTGTGATTAAAACACAGATAATTAGCTTCGCGCGATTGTTCCCAAGTCTATAAAATATACTGTCTGTATTATTATTATTATTTCTCATGTTTTTCGTGCCATAGTAGGGTAGTATCATCAGCGAAAATGGTGAATCTTTCCTTAATGGGAACAGTGGCTAGGTCATTTAAATATAAAAGAGAATTGGATTTAGGATAGATCTCTGTGGGACTCCCCTTTCATATCCCTGATGTCGGACAGACTCCCATTTGATTTCACGATCTGTTTCCTATCACAGGATTTGAACCATTCATACTCCTCTGAAACCATAGCAGTACAGTTCTTCTAATAGTATTCTATGATTCACACAATCGAAGGCTTTTGAAAAGTCACAGAATACTGCAGTCACTGCTTCACTATTGTTCAGGTTGGTGTATACATGTTCTATGAAAGAGAAAATTGCATCATTCCTACTATCTTTCCTCTGAAATCCGAATTGGGAATCAGTCAATATATCATTAAAGTATACAAATGTTGACATCCGTTTCCGTTGAAAGCAGAGACATTAGTCTAAAATTGCTAGGATCTTTAGAATCGCCACCTTTATACAGGGTGTTTGGTTCACCGACGTATATCTGAAAGCGGGTGATAGGTGGGATGATTTTGAACACATTTATCCATAAATACTATTATACAAAGTGTTACGCTTTTCGAGATATCATCGATTTCCAGAATTTGACAGAATTTGATGAATACTTCCACATAGGTTATAATAAAAGTTTTGTCAAACATTTTGTCCGATTGAATATTTTTTTTCTATAAAGTTGAATACGTATTTCATCGATATTGAACATGTAATGGGATCTACGTATTTTATGGCTCATTAGAATTCAAAATACGATCAATTGTAATATTCAACATCGAATTTATGAGCGAATAATATGAAGTATGCAGATGGATTATTCGTTCGAATACCTTCGAAAACTTTCTTGTTGTTGGTTCTTTCGAATGATGTAATAATAGGCGCAGACTTGATAACGTAGTATACTTATTTTAATAAAAAAACAAAATAATTTCTCGCCGAAAAAATTGCAAGATGTAACAAAAGAAAATAGAATTAAAAACAGGAATCTATTTATGAAATTTCTTGCTTGAAATGAAATCCACCATTTCTAATACAAAATCGACATCTTCGTCGCATGTTTGTCGTGGTTACGCCTAGCCTCATTTCCGCCTTCATTTGATCTGCTGCCTCATTGATTTTTCGAATAAGATGTTCTCGATACCGAATTTCCTCATTATACACGAGTTCCTTCATTCGTCCCCAGACATGATAGTCGACGCGGGGGTCAGGTCTGGAGATTTAGGAGGCCATAATAACGGTCCAGTTCGCCCTATCCATCTTCCTGGAAATTGATTATTCAAAAAATCTCTGACAGTTATACGGTAATGGGCAGGACATCCGTCGTTTTGATAAATGATTTGTCCTCTTATATCTACAAACATGTACACTGAATTTCCGTTGGACGGAAATTTGTTTCTTTACATGGGGGTTTTCTTCTGCCCAATAGTGCAGGTTATGAAAGTTATTAATCCCTTCACGAGAAAAGTTTGATTCATCAGTCCACAAAATCCTACGTAAGAATGTTGGATTGTCTATGTCGGCATTTAGGATCAATCGACAGAAAGTGCTTCTTCGAACTGGGTCTCCTTCTTCGAGTCCTTGCACGGGAGTATAATGGAATGGGTGCATTTCTTTAGAATGAAGAACTGACCATACCTTCCATGGAGATAGATTCAGCTGTTCCGCTATTTTTCTGGCGCTACTAGTGGGCTCTGCTTCAAAATTTTCAAGAATTTGCCGATCCACTTCAGAGTGATGTTGTTAATTGGTTGCTCTAGGATCTTTTTGATGTAAATTGCCAGTTTCGCTCAATCTACGATAGGTATCAGCAAACACGGACACGTGGGGTACTCGTCTTTGAGGAAATCTTTTTTGATAAAATCGTTGAGCAGCAGCTGCATTGCTGTCAGCTCTGCCGTACATGAAAATTATATCAGCATATTCAGCATTCGAAAAAGCAGCCATTTGACAAATTCACAAATATTACAAAATGAACAAAATTAAATACAATGATTGACGGCTGAGAAAATTTTGATTAATAAGTTTGTCTGTCGCATAGCAACAATGTGGCTACTCTATTTAGGAACATGTTAAATAACGAGAATATAATATATTGATAAACAGGACGAAGATAAAGGAAGTTTTTGACGATGTTCGAACGAATGTTTTATTTAGACAACTCCATTTTTTTTTGCTTTTGAGGTCAAAGTTGGGTATCACAGTAACTCGTTACGTAAATTCAAATGAGCCACAATTTTTTTGAAATCACATGAGTGCTTTACATCGATCAACTGGAGACTCTACTTTACAGGGGAAAAATATTCAATAAGATAAAATGTTTGACAAAACTTTTATTATAACTCATGTGGACCTATTCATCAAATTCGAGCAAAATCTGAAAATCGATGATATCTCAAGAAGCGGAACACTTTGTATAATAGTGTTTATGGTTGTATTTGTTGAATATTTACATAGGTATATATTTTATATATACAGTGTGTCCCTAGACCAGTGGGACAGTTGAATATCTCCTGAACCAATAGGAATTTTCAAAATATTATAATTCCACATCATATCGCATCATGAGTGCTAACTTCAGGAATGACTGAATTTTATACGAGGGGCGCAAGAAAGGCTCACAAAATCGAACATAATTTTTTTCAAATGGAACACCCCATATATTTCAACATATCTGAATTCTCATCCCTCTAGGCTAATTATCAGTTTTTTATTTTTGAAAATCCGACAAGGCGTTGCCAAGTTATATACCAGTATTTCATGGAATGCAGACATTTTTTTTATAGACAAACCCATTATTCATACTACTGAGAATTTATGGAATCATTCAAGACTGTTGGTAGTCGGTAGCATATTCTATCATATGAAATACTCATCTTCTTCGAAAGTTATACAGGGTGGTCAGAAATATTATATGATTTTCACGAAATTCAAACTTTCTTCACATCATTTTTTCAAATAGTGCACCCTACAATATGTATGATTTTATATCCCATTGGTGGTTTGATGGCTAATGGTCAATAGTTGTGAAAGAGAGATGTGAATTTCATCATCAGCAAATGCAAATAAAAAAAATGCAGTAAACTACTTATTCAACTGTGAGAAGATGGTTTGTAGGGACTCTTACGTAGTTAATTACACTAGAATACGTAGTTTGATGATTTTGTTTTGTATTTTCTGATGATGAAATTCACATCTCTCTTTCACAACTATTGTTGTTCGTGAAAATCATATAATATTTCTGACCACCCTGTATAACTTTCGAAGAAGATGAGTATTTCATAAGATAGAATATGCTACCAACTACCAACAGTCTTGAATGGTTCCATAAATTCTTAGTAGTATGAATGATGGGTTTGTCTAAAAAAATTTCTGCATCACATGAAACACTATAGTATAACTTGGCAACGCCTTGTCGGATTTTCAAAAATAAAAAACTGATAATTAGCCTAGAGGGATGAGAATTCAGATATGTTGAAATATATGGGGTGTTCCATTTTAAGAAATTGATGTTCGATTTGGTGAGCCTTTGTTGCGCCCCTCGTATAAATTTTAGTCATTCCTGAAGTTAGCACTCATGATGCGATATGATGTGAAATTATAATATTTTGAAAATTCCTATTGGTTCAGAAGATATTCAACTGTCCCACTGGTCTAGGGACACACTGTATATTTTTTCCCATCTTGTAATAATATTTGTGATTATAATGTATGCAATGGATAACCGTAAATAAAGCTCTATTCTATTCTATTCTAAATATGTTCAAAATCATCCCACCTATCACCTCCTTTCAGATATACGTCGGTGAACCAAACACCCTGTATATTGGTATGACTATTGCTGTTTTTGGCACGGTGGGAATTTTCCAAGTTCGGAAAATTTATTACATTCAACTAGCAATTGATCAATTGTTTTCTTTTTCAGGCCACTGGAAGTTTGCCCATAACTGTCCGTCACGTTGAAAGTATCATCAGAATGAGTGAAGCTCACGCAAAGCTACATTTGAGAGAATATGTTCAAGAAGATGATGTCAATATGGCTGTCAGAATGATGTTGGAAAGTTTTGTTGAAACGCAGAAGTACAGTGTTATGAAGACGATGCGACAGGTAGGCTTACAATTTTCTGTACTTAGTGTTTCCGGAAACGTTGATGAACAATTCTTTCAGTTTATATTTTATAGTTCACCTTCCAACCACTAAATTAACAGTCAATAGGCTACTGAACTGATAGTGAATAATTGGCATTCAATTACTCCACTGTGTCTTTAGGGTCCTAAATTATCTTTTCAACGCTTCTTACGCGTTTTTGATGCAAATGTGTTCGAAATAGTTGAATTTCAGAGAAAAATTTCATTTTCGGAAAAAGTTGGCCCGGCTGTTTGAAAATGACGTCTTGTCGAATTTTCTTGGTATATTATAGTACTGGAGCTACTGATCGAATGTGTCAAAAGCCCCAACTTAATCCTGGGACTACACCTTTCTGAATCGTAATTCAGGAACTGTAACTTGTAATTCAGAAACTGTAACTTGTAATTCAGAAACTGTAACTTGTAATTCAGAAACTGTAACTTGTAATTGAGGTTAGTCAATTGTTATTCAGAAAGCGTCAATGGCAATTCAGAAAGTATCACATGTTGTAAGTCAGAAACTACCGAGAACTTAAATAAGGGCAGATCACTACTCTCACAAGGTACTTTGATACTTCATTTTGAATCATATTATTGTTTCAAATGGGTTGCAACGTTAGGGAGTATGGACCCAAACAAAGGATACTCCAGGAAAATACCTACCTAGTTTCTCAATTACAGTTGTTACTTTCTGAATCACAATTATCTTTTCTAAACTGACTCTTATACTTTAATTGAATTTCTAATATGTGTAATTATACATGGTGATTCGTGAGTGCTGTGTACATTTTACCATTTTTCTGTGCGTTTCTGGTATATCTCAATGAAATTTGAAGGGATCAAATAGGAGAAAAAATGATAGTTTTTCATCTTCTATTCAAGTCCTCCAAATAAGAACCTAGTTTTCCATCTCCTTTTCTAACCGACTGGTTGCGATATACCAGTGGTTCAAAAATTAGTAGGGGGGGGGGGCGGACTTAAGACGGGCACTGTACATTTAAAGAAAGAAAATCATCATTTTTTCTGTAGAAGAACTACTAATCTCACCACCTTGGTTGCGTAGGCCTTCAAAGGGCTTGTGTGAGTTGAGATAAATTTACAGAAATGTACAATCAAACCATTGACGAACAAATGAATTGATTTATCAGAATATTTGAGCTATCTTTCACAATCAAATATTTGGAAACCATTAGAAATCAAGGAACATGAAAATTTTACTCAATGATCTTTAAATTCACGGCTTCTGAATGTGTTGTATTATTTGATATTTATAATCACTCCTTGTGTTTTTCATTGTAGGTGTTCCAAAGATATCTCCTCTTCAAGAAAGATCATAGTGAGCTCCTTTTCTACATTTTGAGACAACTGGCTCAGGACCAATTGACGTTCCAGAGGAGTACTACAGAGATGGAGGCCCTAAGTATAGAAGTAGATGAAAAGGATCTAATTGATAAGGTAATATTCCGCATTTGTTGTTGTTTGAAAATATTTTCTGAATATATTTTATTTCAGGCTAAACAAATTGATATTCATGATCTGAAGCCATTCTATCAAAGCAAAATATTTGAAGTGAACAACTTTGTGTATGATGCTAGGAGGAAAGTCATCATTCATACTGTTCCAGAAGCTATATCAACAGAGGATTAATTGAAAAAACAATACAAATGTAACAAAATACAATAGTTTCTTTTTAACTTTTATATTTATTTTTGTAATACATGACTTCCTGAGTAAACCTATTTTTCTCCCAGCTGCATAGAAAATGGCTTTCTTCTTCAAGCGGCAGGGATAGTGGCTTTTTCCTACCTCTTAACAGGCAGAAAAGGTGTACTTTTACTGCCTAGGCAGAAAAAGTTTGTTGCTATGCAACGTTCCAAGGAATTCTAATGAAATTAGTAATCAAATTGACACTCTGACATTGGGTGAACACAAAATGATGGAGTTTTCAATGAAAAAATTACACACAATTGGTGAAAAAAAAACTATGTTTCACACGGCAACAAATGTAGATTGACTGCCTTGGCTGAATTCCTAGCCTCGCTATGCTCGGCTATGAACTATCAGCCGCGGCAGTCAATCTACTACTTTTCTGCCTAGTAATACAAATAACTATTTTCTCCAAGCGGCAGGGAAAGTGGCTTTTCTCTGACACTTAACAGGCATTAAAGGTGTACTTTTACTGCCTAGGCAGGAAAAGTTTGTTGTTATGCAACTTTCCAAGAAATTCATATAAAATTGATAATCAAAAAACTGACACTGACATAGGGTGAACAAAAAATGATGAAGTTTTCAACAAAAAATCTGCACAAAATGGGTGTCATGACATTTGGAGAAAAAGTTATATGTTTCACACGGCAGTAAATCTAGATTGACTGCCTTGGCTGAATTCCTAGCCTCGCTACGCTCGGCTATCAACTGTCAGCCGTGGCAGTCAATCTACTACTTTCCTGCCTAGTAAAACAAATAACTATTCTCTGACACCTCACAGGCAGGAAAGGTACGTGTTCGCTTCCTAGGCAAAATTGGTTTTGCAACATTGAAAAGAAAATATGTTCCATACGGTAATCAATCTACTTCTTTGCTGCCTAGTAAAAGTAATTTGAATGAAATTGGTAATCAAAATTGACACTGATATTGGGTGAACACAAAATGATAGGAGTTTTCAATTTTAAAAAATTACACAATATGTTTCACACAGCAGCAAATGTAGATTGACCGCCGTAGTCATTCTACTACTCTTCTGCCTAGTAATAGTATATTACACACCGAGGTGGGGAGAGATTCATTCCTGTCGTGAGATTAGTCAGTTAACCGAGACGCAAACCGTCGAGGTTAGCTATGATCGCGAGACAGGAATGAAACTTCCTACAGAGGTTTGTATACTATTTTATTTTCAACCATCATATTTCGATAAAAATTAATAAATCTGTTTCGTTCTGAACATTCCTAAAATATTACGTGACGGCGGGAAGTAGAGTTGTGTAAGGTGACACTTTAGTAATAGACAGCATATCACATAATATGGTTGTAAATAAATCAAATAACTATTTCTTTCCATATTATCACATGTTTTATTCAACTATTCTGATGCCTGTTATTCATCTAGAAGTCACTGTACTAATGTAACATTTTTTCCAACAGTCATGAAATGTTCATTTCCGTCGACCTCGTAATAACGAGTAAGTTTAATGTTTATGAAATCGTTCATTAATGATTTATGATCAATTTGTCTATTAATGCACGATTGTTTAATAGGCAACCAAACATACACCGCGTGCATTCATTGTTTATGCTATAACATACGGAATCTGCATTATGGATTTCATCGAAGATTTTCCGTTAACGGGTTCGCCTTTCCAAGTTTCTGGAACGATTTTAATCCCTGGCAACCAGATGACGTTCCAGTGACGTCTTTTTCACGTCACTTGAATGACCAAGGTGACGTCAGTAGTTGACGTCGCATTGATTCACTCACCAAACTGTGACGTCCGACTGACGTCATAATGACGATTGATGATACGTAAAAAAGATTCCTTCAACATGGTGTGATAAACACCACTAGCCTCTGATGACATTATATAAAATTGATTATGCAATGTTGAGTCTGCTAGGTGTGTCCCTCCTGTGTCATGTTCATTCATTCGTCTATTCAGCAGCGCCATCCTTCAGTACGCATCTCCATCAGAATGCAATCAGTAACTCGTATTTATATAAAAAATTAGTTTGTGTCGGCGAGATGTAAGCAAACAAAGAATAGTTTGATATTGATGCATTCTTTGTCACCCAACAAAAATCTAAATAGCAAATTATTGAAAAATTTCCTAAATGACCAAGCTCACCAAATTGGTACGTCACATCGACGTGATTTTTAGGCGTCATAGATACGTCACTGCAACGTCATAAGAGTAACGGTTTTAATTTAGGTATACCTAAACAATCATTTTTATCTATACATAACTTGTTGGTTTCCGAGATATACAGTGTGTCAAAGATTTTTGGAAAAAAGTTTTTCTACCACTTTGGGTATATTGATAATTAGAATAAAACTTGCATGTTGATTTGCTTTCATGAGTTATACTTCTGTTTCACATGATAATATATAAGAATCCATGGTTCAGATAAGATCTGGGAAAAATGGACGTCGATAGGACGTCCCTGCAACGTCATGAAACTGACGTTTCTTTTACCCATCTGAGTGACGTTCACTCGACGTCGAAACGATGACGTGATTATCACGTCATAGAAAGTACGTCATAGTGACGTCATAAATTGGTGTGTGACGTCTCTGACGTAAAATCACCAATTAGGGACGTCACTGTGACGTGATCATTCGTCATCTGGTTGCCTGGGAGGAGATACAGCCTCAGTGAGTAGCTCTTTACGCACAGTAAGCACATCGCACAGTTTTCGTTTATTCCGCCAGTATGGGTATGCCATGATCGCGTAATCGCCGTCAACAGCGGATGACATAACTGTCAAGAATTATAATTCAGATTGTCTGGCCAATTTTTTTTGATGTACTATATGGGAGTAGGTATAGTATAGTACGTAATGCGTGTTGTAAAGCAATTTCGCATTCGTGCGTCATATGCTTCTTACAACACATATTACGTAATATACCATTGTTGAACGATAACAATATGCCAGTATGATATCCTGGAATCGGTCATCAGTATTTTGTTCGATTTTTTTTCACCAATCAAGTTGAATTGTGCAGTACGAATTGAAAAGTCAACTTGTTAGTATTTTTCCTGATTTTTCTGATTCTGATAAGAGTTTTTGAAAAATACGATTCAGAAAGTCGAAATTTTGACATTTAATAAGAAAATGAGCTTTCCAAGTCCGGCCCTGGAATATTTTTTTCCATGGGTCATCGTGTGGTGTGTTAGTAAAGGAAAGTTGCTGGTGAATTTCAGGCGATAACATCTAGATGTTCCTGAAATATCGATAATCAAAGTTATGCCCCGAATTCAAATAATGCTCGGTATTTCTGTTATGAATAAGAAATAGTTATTTCCGTCCATCTCGTATTAACGAGTAAGTTTAATGTTCATGAAATCGTTCATTAATGACCCCTATTAATGATCAATTTGTATATTAATGCACGATTGTTTTATAGGCAACCAAACATACACCGCGTGCATTCATTGTTTATGCTATAACTTACGGAATCTGCATTTAAATCGAAAATATGGATTTTTATCCCTGTTTTCTAACACAAGTAATTTATTTTCTATGTTGATAATTTCGACAAATGTCAATGTCTCGAAAATTAACGCGCTCGCTTCGCTCGCACGTTAAAATATCTCGATCATTAATCGCCCTCATTAATACACTAGTTGGTTAAATAACTATTTATGTACCAAGAACGAAACACTGTCTATTATAGTCGAGTCTGCAAATGATAGCTAAAGCCTTAGCCGAGGCTAGCAATCAGACGAGACAATAGACAGTGTTTCGCCGAGGTGCATATTACATTTTTACGTTGACCTCAAATGGCTCAACCACCATTGTGACATTGTGATTACAACTATTCTACAGAATGGAGATATGAAATAGTTCACAATGAAAGATCAGGTAGTAGTGTTTGACAGCTTCAACCACCATGGTTGGCAGAGCAAGATTACCAATAGACATTACCAAATACTATATTAGAAGGCAGGTTATTATTGGTTTGAAATGAAGGTTCAACAAAAACTTCTTATTTTATTGAAAATAATTATATTTGTTAGAAAATTGCATAGCTTTGACACTTGAAAAATTATCAACTTTAAAAGAAAATATTTTCCCTATCAAGTTACCTAACTTTTAAAAATCGCTCAGAATGGAAAATTCAGAGAATATGTTTTGATTCGTTTAATGTTGTGAAAAAATAATACTTAGCTCTCCAAACACAAAACTATTTATCTTACACATTCGACCAACTGGAATCCTCATCAATATCATGAGGAAATGCATTCATTTCTGGAGCTGTTAGTTTGGCAGTCTTTAAATAATTTGTTTTCAATAATTCCTTTGCAGTCTTTCGTTTTGAAGGGTTGTAAGTCAACATATGCTGAAAAAAAAAACTCAGTAGAATTATAATCTATAGCTACTCGAGGTCTTAAGAATTCTTTAAAATGTTGGTGCAAAAGGACAGCGATATACCCAATATTTATTTTACTAGGGATAAGAATTCTCAGTGAATACAGTTATGTCCATGGCAGAAAGATATATGGTCTGCTACGACACATATTTGTTGACGTACATAAGTAAAACAATCGCCAGCAAGCTAGCGGTTAACAATTTGCTCTAGTCTCCATGATAACTTGACTGACATTACTACCTACTAGACATCTATATGCCATATCTTAGCAACCCGAAAATCTCTGGTAAATTGCTCGCCTGAAAACGTTTCTGCTCAATGCGCAGGAACCCTCAAACCATCGATCATGACAGCGAGTAATTTTTCAATGTGATCGGAAACATGAGTAAGAGTAAGATGTATATACATGGTGATTCAAATGTAAGCGGCATCCTTTCAGGGGCGTATTCCTTGCTTGAAGAAAGGCAAATAGTTCCTATTAATAAGGGTCCGAAAATGCTTCCTACACCCCTTCGAAAGACGATTTTTTCTCTATAACTTTAAGGTTCTTCACAATAAATTTTCGAAAATCGGTGTACGGTATAAACATTTGATGGTAAATAAGACTCCGAATTCAAAATTTCATTCAGGGGCGTCACATGCGGGGGAGGGTAATGTAGAAACATCCCTTCTTCTTTTGATATTCAGTTTATATAAAATTCTAGATTTGTTCACGTAAAAAAGGTACTCTAAGTTCATTTCGATAGAGTAGCTCCCTTAGGAAGCATTTCTGGACCCTTATTGATAGGAACTTTTTGCCTTATTTTCATGCAAGGAATACGCCTCTGTAATAATGCCGCTTACTTTTGAATCACCCTGTATAAGTATGAGTATGAGAGGTCCTAAATGCACATGATTCATTTTTTCCAATTCGATCTGGTGAGTTATCGACCATAGTGATTTTTTTCCCAAGCCTAACTAAACATTTTCTTACCTACCTACGCAATATACACCATGCCTGAACAAACCTCACAAAAAAAATCAATTTCAAAAATACTATAACTGTCTGGATAATAGGAAAGCGTCTTGAGGTCACACAAATAAAATTCACAGATACCGGGACAGGTGAAACTAAATAAAAGCTTGTATAATATTTAGTAGATAAAGAGCTGACAACAATAGAAGATTGTTTTATTAGGATCAAAAGTGACACTTTTGTTGGACAAGCGAATATGGCGTTTGATAGGCGGATCGTTAGCGAGTCACTTTTGATCCGATTGAAACATGCTATTTTTTCTGCAACTGAAAGAATTATTAAAACATAGACATTTTCAGATCAGGTTCATTCAATTTTCAAGGATGTTCGTAGTTTTAATATAATTGACTGGGTAGGTATGTATTGTGTTTTGAGTTTCTTGTTGAATAATTGGATATAATATATAGTAACCTATATGTTGTTTATCCTTGATGACCTAGTACATAATTTTTAGTTCCTAGGAACTAAAAGTGTCAGTTAGCTGATTTTGGAAGTGAAATGGGCGACTTTTGAGTATGTTGCAGAAAAATTTAATTGCCCGATTAATAAACTACTCAACACTAATTTCGTCGCACACCAAAATGTCGCCCCTGTTATAATGTGAATAACTTTTTTCAGTTTAGAACAATTTGAATTTGGTTCACACTGTTCGATAGCCCAGTCCTTCAGCTATAATCTCGTACTTCATTGAAACATAAGGGTATTCACATAAAATCTCTACATGGTGTCTTCCGACACTGTGCGAAATTTCGGAATATTCAAAAGGCTCCCAGATGGTGAAAAAAATTTTTTCCTCAACTTCGACAACAGAGGCATGAAGATGATCTCATTACTTCGAGATATTTCGCGAATCAACTTCCTATCTCTCTTATTTACAGAGTGATCTCAAAAAATCAACTTTTTGGTTTTGCAGCCATGACTTTTTCTCACGTCAACCGATTTTGGAAATCTTAGGCTCATTTTGAAGATAAAACTTCAGATGAGGAGATCTGAATATCAGAATTGACTCAAGATGGCTATCGAAGATCTAGAGATTTCTTGAAAGTGACCCAAATCTGGAACGCCCTTCGAATCTTGGTTGGGAGGAGAATTGAATGAAAATCAACTTGTTCTCGGAAAAACAATTCATTCTGGATGCGTCCATATTTTCCTCGCTCTCAGTAGTCAAGAATTGTGCGTGTAAAAAAACAATTGAAACATGTTCTTGCAAAAACATTAGATCATTTCTGCTCTGTAATGCATGGCCCGCCGTAACCAACGTTACAAGAATCACAATGAGTGACTGACAAACCCGACCAGCTGAGACTCATCATAAATGGTGTACCAACAAGAGCAACGGATTTTGATTTTTTTAACAGTTGTCACGTACACAACATGCGATTTAAGAATATGGAGGAGTATTCAAGCAAACAACGTTTATTTATTGTAAAAACGCATTTCAAAAATGGTGAGAGTTTCACGAAAACAGTTTGCCAATTACGTAAAGTTTTCAGTCGCAATAATGCGCCGAACGAATCGACAGTAATAACCAAACAATTCGTGTCGGAGATAGGCCCTTTGAATGGATCGGACTGTCGTGTTTAGCAGATCCGCGATCTGGAGGGAAGATAACCCTTGTTCCCTCATTTGTGGAATCAGTTCCAACTGGTCGGGCGTTAGATGCGGCATCGAAACTATCAAAATCTGTCTATGATTCGAAAACGACGTCTAACCTGACTTGTCAGTCACTTACTGTGATTCTTGTAACGTTGGTTACGGACCATGCATTACAGAGGAGAAATGGTCTGATGTTTTTACAAGAACATGTTTCAATTGTGTTTTCTCACGCACATTCTTGAGTACTGAGAGCGAGGAAAATATGGACGCATCCAGAATGAATTGTTTTTCCGAGAACAAGTTGATTTTCATTCAATTCTCCTCTCAACCGAGATTCGGAAGGCGTTCCAGATTTGGGTCACTTTCAAGAAAACTCTAGATCTTTGATAGCCATCTTGAGTCAATTCTGATATTCAGATCTCTTCATCTGAAGTTTTATTTTCAAAATGAGCCTAAGATTTCCAAAATCGGTTGACGTGAAAAAAAGTTATGGCAGCAAAACCAAATAGTTGATTTTTTGAGATCACTCTGTAAATAAGAGAGATAGGAAGTTGATTCGCGAAATATCTTGAGGTAATGAGATCATGTTCATGCCTCTGTTGTCGAAGTTGAGAAAAAAATTTTTTTCACCATTTGAGAGCCTTTTGAATATTCCGAAATTTTGCACAATCTCGGAAAACACCATATAGAGATTTTATGTGAATACCCTCATGTTTCAATGAAGTACCAGATCATAGCTGAAACACTGGGCTATCGAACAGTGTGAACCAAATTCAAATTGTTCTAAACTGAAAAAAGTTATTCTCATTATAACAGGGGCGACATTTTGGTGTGCGACGAAATTAGTGTTGAGTAGTGTAGATCAATATCTCCTACCTTATTGACCTTATTGTAACTGCCGTAACATCATTAAAAACTGATCGGGATGTCTTGCAGGTTTTCAGTGGTGGAGGCGGCCGTGGTATGGCCGTTAAGGGTTGAAAAAAAATCAATCCAACCTACGGTGTGGTCTGTTAATCGATTATGTTTGATTATCAATAAAAATTATGCCAGACACATTGAGTTTGGATATCATACCGCCAGACAGCGTTAAAAGTGCGTTAAAACGATACTCCATCCTCCGATAAATAGAGACGTTTTTCTTACAATAGACCCTCAGTTACTTGAAATAATTTTCATACCTATAGGGTGTTCGAATTCCAAAATAACGTCTGATGATTTTAGTTTTTTTTAGGACACCATGTTTTCAATTGCATTTTTGTATGCACCATCAAAACTGCTACACAATTGTTTTTTTGTTCCTGTATTTGTAAATTTGACTCCACAGTAACCAAGATATTCAACTTTTTTCGTGAAAAACTGATTTTGTAAAAAAATGCATTGTGGTTTACATTTGCACATTGGAACGAAATAAATTCACACGAATAGAGTCCAAGATGTGTTCCATTTGTTCCTACAAAATTAGTTGGAAATATTGAACACTCTTAAGATTAACATGTGAACTCAACCATGACAAACATTGACTTGACGGTTAGTATTTTTCAGCAGCACATTAGAATAGGATATTTAGTTTTCATCTTCTCCTGAAGATGCTAACATACTTAGCGAAACACGTGTCAAGGCGTTCAAAAAATCGGTTTGGTTAGTGGTAAAACAGTGTAGTGTATTATCCTGCCAAAGGTTGCAGTCTTCAATATATTGAACACTCTGTCAATGATGGATGGAAAAAATCTGATGCCAAAACTTTATCATTTCAAATGGTACACCCTGTATTTTTTAACGTTAACGGTACCAGGTTCCAATTTTCAATATTCATTAAGTATGTCCTATACCTATATTTTCGATATAAATTGATTTTTAGCATTTAATCTGATGAAAAAAATGTTCGTTCAAGCTTATTCAAATTTAGCGATACTTCTGCGTGATACCTAAACAAACTGACATATTATTGATAGGTAACCAAAGTAACTCATGTTTTAATAAAGCATTCTTGATAAAAAGAAATTGATCATGTACGACAATATTATTGTAGAAATTATTCATATTACTTCTGTATCTAATGTCATTTGCATTCTAATACATTGCCAAATCATAAAAGCCCATCGAAAAATACGCATCATTGTTTCATCAAGCCATTATTTGATGCATAGATATTTAAGTTTATACAATAGCCAAAAGACTCAGTTGGTATTCTCATATATTTATCCTAATTTTTCGCGCGTATTCAATCACAGATTATCTGTTGGCCACTATTCGTAGGATCACATGCAATCTTTCCCCCTCTCAAAAGGAGAGAATCACGGAGGACGTAGTACCACGAAAACTATGACTCTCTCACTCTAATGACTCTCTGAGAGCTATACACGTGTTTTTTAATTATACCAGTGAATCTCCAACAAAAGTTAAATTCCTTCCTATAATGAAAAATTAGTCGAAAATAGTTATTTTTGTATCTAGAGGGCGAAATGCTACTTTGGTGATCGAGATCTGATTTTTTTAACGAGGCGTAGCCGAGTTAAAAAAATAGTCGAGATGACCAAAGTATTTCGCGCTCGAGTAGCAAACAACATTTTTTTTACAAACGTCAAAAAATATAGTTCTAAAGTGAAAATATGCTTAGCTTGACATAAAAAATAGTGTTGAACTGGCTTAAAAGGCCTCCCCTACCCTCCCTAGATACGCACGATGTTCCACGAACATAATAGGAATTTCCTTTCGTGCGCTCCAAGAGATAAAACAAAGTTATTGTTGAACATTCAGAAATAAATGATTTCGTGGATGTTTGCTCGATTGAGGACCAAAAAGTTGAAATATAAATATCTCATATATTTTACATGCGCGAAGTTGGTACTTCGCGCACTGTTTTACTTCGCGCATTGTTTTGTGCAAGGTATCATGGTAACGTAGGAAACTGAAAAAAAGTGTCACTTCGCAATCTGTTATCAATGCGCGAACCTTGTCATTTTTTGACGTTCGTAGAAAAACAATATAGTGCAATCATGTTTAGTGTCCTTAGATTATAGGAACTTGGCGTGGCAAGAACATCACGGGTAAGTGGCCTTCATAGACCGCTCTGTGATTTCGATGAATTTTTAAACCATACAGTCTCCACTAATTTATTCATATCCCGAATCATGAAACAATCATTTTGTTGGTCATGAAAATTTTTGAATTTAATGTAAAAATGAATTTTTTTATCAAATTACCAATCATTTTCTAAAAAATCAATTTATATTGAATAAGGCAATATTTAGATATAATGATAAAAATTGGAGGTAATTTGGATCTGAAACCGATAACGTAAAAAAATATAGGGTGTTCTATTTGAAATAATGAAGTTTTCGAATCTTCAACTTTGCTAAGTTTTTCCGTATTATGCTCAACAGAGTGTTCAATATTTCGAACTGAATGGAAAAAGTTGAATGACTTGGCAACCGTGGAGCCTGATACAGAAAACAAGAAACAGTTGTGTAGCAATTTCGATGGTGCATTCGAAAATGCAATTGAAACAGGGTGTCCTATTTAAAAAACTCATCATCAGCCGATATTTAGGAATTCAAACACCCTATAGATATGAAAATAATTTTAGTGCCTGAGGGTCTGTCGTAACGAAAATCGAAAAAAATATTGGCACTAGTTTCTATTTATCGATGGAGTTTTAACGCACCTTTAACGTGGTCTGGCGGTATAATTCCACCACTCAATGTATCTAACATATTTTTTATTGAAAAGCAATCATAACCATCTGTCACCAGACAAAAATTCATTGCTCTATTAATCGTATGTTGCATTGATTTATTTTCCACCCTTTACGGCCATACCACGGCCGCCTCCATCACTGAAAACCTGCCATACATTCCGATCAGTTCTTGATGATAACAATGAAATTTGTTGTCAGATCTCTTAAGTGTTGAACTGGCTTAAAATGCCTTGATTATTGTTATAAGAAATAAATGATTTCCTAGATTTCTGCTTGATTCAGGACCATAAAGGCGAAAACACAAAAATCTCATGTATTTAGTTTACATGCAGTGCCCGAAATATGTATTTCGCACAATGTTTCGCGCAAGGTGTCGTGGTAACATAGGAAGAGGAAGAAAATGGTCAGTTTGCATGTTGTTATCAATTTGTGAACCTTGTCATTGTAAAAAATATGTAATGGGTTCACCATTAAACTATGCAATCATGCTCTTTTATCTTCTACTTTATTCGTAACTGGAAAAAATATACTATAGGAACCACCCTTAAAATTTGATGGTGCTTTGGGGTTTCAAATTGGATAACCATGCTTTTTGTTCATCTTATGAAACTTTTATTCAATTGATTTATCAAACTGAATAGATATTTGTTGGATCTATGATTAATAATCTGAAATTATGAATAATTTGAGAAGTTCTTATTAAAAATGTATTGGTTGAGTGGGTAACAACTCGGATATGTGCTGGCCAAAAGCTCCTTGATTCATCTCATTTTTTTTTAATGAAAGTGGTATATTCTTACCAGTATGAAATCTTCTTCTTCTTGAGTATGAAATTTGATCATATTAGTTAGATCAACTGATTCCCATTGTGGAAACGTGGGTTTATAATCTGGATACAGAGAAACTCCTTCCCATACTTCTTCACCTGGGGTTCCCATTACTTTGAAAATTTTGTATAATTGATCTATCTCTGAGTCACCAGGAAACAAGGCTTTTTTCATCAACTAAAATGATATGTAAGAAATTATTTATAGACCATGGTTGACAGTAAATAATATCAAGGGACGAATATTATATCTGAAAGCTCAGAATAATTATTATGTGATTTTTTGCGACATGTATAGTTTGTTTCATTTCATGTTATTCATGAAAAAACACACAGGGTACTCAGCATGAATAATATAGGTACAGTCGTATTAAAAAAAAAAGCGTACAAGTATTAGAAATCAACGTCATCCTATTTGCGAAAAACGGGCTATCGGGAATGATTGTTTACCGAATGTTGACAGTTGTCATAGATTGTCAAAAATACTAAGCGTAGACGTCGGCGTTATTTTTGAAATTGCTTAGTCTGTGAAATGAAAATGCCTCGCCATTTAACAGAAATAGAAAAGGCTCAGATAGTGACTAAGACTGAGGAAGGATGGTCTATTCGCGCGGTAGCACGGGAGTGTAATCGGAATAAGAAAACTATTCTAAAAATCAACAACGATGGGAGCAAGAAGAAACTGAGAAGAAAAGTTGGATCAGGTAGTCCCAAAATTTCCAACCCTCAACAAGATGCTGCTTTTGTGGCATACTTAAGAGATAACCCATTTGCAACGGCGAGAGATTCTGTGATAGTGACTGGATTTCCTGGCTCTCAACCTACTGCGAGCAGAACGGTCAAGAAATCTGAGCTGAACAATCATCCAGCAGCGAAAAAAAAATTTCTCAACGCTGAACGGCGTCAGACAAGGGTAATTTTCGCACTAAATCATATATACCGCAACCCACAATATTGGCATAGGGTAATTTTTACAGACGAAAAAACTTTCAAGTCGACTTATGACGGACCAATTCGTGTTATTCGTCCACACTATACGAGATTTGAAGAACGATACACTAGATCTCTTGCTTTTAGGTCTGGACGTTTTTCCGTTAATGTATGGGGCTGGGTAAGTATCCATGGACCCGGTGTTTGCTGGCGAATAGAGGGAAAGTTCAATGCCGCAAATTGTTTGAACATTTCAGAAAATATAACGCTCCCATCTATTGAGCAATTGTATTCAAACAATACCTTCGTATATCAACATGAAAATTGTCCAGTCCACACCGCCAATGATGTAACGAATTGGTTCCGTACGCATGATGTAGAAGTGCTGCCATGGGCCGCTTACAGTCCCGATATCAATCCAATAGAAAACGTTTGGGGTATAATTGTAAAAAAAATCTACAAGAGAAACTACAGGCCCCAAAATTCGAATGAATTATGGATAGTAATCCACGAGTGCTGGGACGAGCTTGATCCGAATATATACTATCGAATTTGATCAACTTAATGCCAAATAGACTCACTAAAGTTATAGAATCTGATGGTTATATGACCAAGTATCAAATTGTATTTTCACTGTTCTCGTTATTCGTTTTTGTTTGAATTGTTATAAAACTGTTAAATATGAATAATTCAATAAATTATTAACTATTTTTTTCTTATTATTCATTTCATTGATGCTCGACGCCACTGACTTGCATTTTGACACCTTGTGGTAAGCCAGTTTTACACAACTAGATCTAGGATGACGTTAACCTCTCTTTTCAATACTTGTACGCTTTTTTATTGAATACGACTGTACTCCACGAAAGGCACCCAGTTCTTATAGTGGAAAACTTCAAAGCCAAATTTCATGCATCAAATTGAATTGTGATGATGGAGAAACCATATGGAAGGAAGAGTCCGACCAGGTTAACTTTGAGACAGAACGTTGACACGTATGCATTAAATATTTATATTCGTTGAATCACGTGGTTTCCCAAAAGTTAATCTGGTAGGACTCTAGTAACGGACTAGAAGTTGTGCTTCTCCAGTTTGAAGAAGAAGCAACATATGACAAAATGCAGGAAAAGCCAACGATCTTTCATTTTCAATCGAATATACATGCACCAGTTCCTGAAGATAAATCTTTATGCACTATGAAGAATTCCTCAAAGAAAGTTAATTTCATAATGCATTTTGTGAAACTGTTTGGTAGGTATGGATCTGATTACTGCTCTTCATAAATTGCAATGTCTTGATGAGAAACTCAAGAAAGATGAAGTACTAGCCCAATAATACTTCAAGAAAATAGAAAGCTATAACGAGAAGGAGAAGGAGTATGTTAGGAAACTAACGCCAGAAGCAGATATTGAGACGCCCAGGACATGATATATATCTCATTTTGCCGTCAAGAATCCGAACAAATTTGGAAAAACAAGAGAGGTATGTGAGAATTTGGCAGCAATGCTTTTATACTTGAAGGTATTCAGAATAGAATACATATTTGCGACTTGGCAACATCCAACGGAAAGCTCTGACCAATTGAATTCGCCAGAATCGCGATTAACGAGAGAGCACGTGTGACTGAGATGTTTATAAGTATATGGTATTTTCACTGATGCGCTTTTGTTTTGCCCAAACTTTACGGTAATAAACAGTTGGAAATCACAATATAAGAATCTTGTTACATCTAATTCTAATGGATGTCCCTGTACGAATTATCTTTATAATGGTAATTGAAACTCTATTATCAGAATGTTATTTATTATACACTATAAATGACTGTTGTTATTTGGTCCGATGAACATCAAAAATATGATGATATCAGCGCCTCTTATGGATTTTCTATGAACAAGAACCTTATAAGTGTCGTCAGTTTTTTCCGTAGAATTTCACATTCACACTCCCCATTCTGCCTCCCCTGTTGGAAGGAGCACGAGCCGCCACTGGCAGTGATATCTACTTAGTCTGAAAAAAATGTTGCAGACTAAAAAGCCTTGATGACGGAATGAATTCTTCACAGGGAGTTCTAGGAAAATAGTGGAATTCTCAAACTGATGAATTCAAAATAAAGCCTAACGAAAATGTCGAGTACCAGTATCATTCAAAATAAAGGCTAACGAAAATGGCGAGTTCCAGTATCATATTACGATAAGAAAACTTTTATTTTTCATCATGTTTATTTATAATCCTTATGGTATCAGCTAATCTGACCATCAGAGGTAAAATTTTGTTGCAAGATAATAATTTGAGAGGTGATATTGGTTGGGAATCAAATCTACCAGAAGGATGTTGAAAATCTGAAGTGTTATTCCACAAGAATTCCATCAACAAACAAAAAAGAAATATAGATATGGGCTTTTGTTGCCGACACCCTAAAGTACTTAGAACCAATACATTGAATTATTTTGAATGGAAACTATATCATTGGCGTTCATTATAAACAAAAGTTGTTCACTGTGGGACAGTTTGCCCTACTGTTTATTCGCTGCGGGAAACCATCTAGTGGCATGATTTTGAAGGATTCAATAGAATCACAGACACTGTCATCAATAACGAACTCGTTTTGGCGATAAATGATGAAATGTCATCAAAATGCATTTCATTCAATTTCACTTCTTCAGCTGCACCTCATAGGGGTAAAACGTATCTCAAGATAGTAAAGAAGACTATTGGAAGTGTGTTGTATCGACAGTTCTTGAGAGCTTTAGTTCTTTTAACACTCTCCACAGAAGTAGAAAAAATTGGTGGTGGAAATAATGTTATCTCACCCTGTGATGAGAATGACAGTCGTCAGAAAGCATGGAGGAAATCATAAACATTGATAAATGCCTATAGGAAGAGGTGGGTAAAATACTATCTTACCAAATTATCCAAAAGACCAGGCATATGGCACTGATGATTGCTTGATAGTCAAAAGCGAAATTTTGATTATATTATTTGAACGAAATAATTGACATTTCATTTGATGAATCCTACAAGTATTAAAACAGAAGATAACGTGACCAAGTCACAGAATACCTATACAGTGTATGTCACGACGAGCTTACACTATCTCTATATCGAGAATCAGTCGGGAGAAATCCCTGAAAATATGCATGCTTGTATATTAGAATACACTATCTTCATTTAAAATATTTTCGGCAATGCAGTGTTGCCGCTTCTATCAAAAAGAAGCAATACTTTGTTATTTTAAATGGAACACCCTGTATTTCATCGCATTTTTAGATTCTCCCTGAAGAGTTGATTTTATCGATGTATCACACTTGGGGTCTATCGAAAAAGATGGCAGAGATATAGGGTGTTCAAAATCGAGATTTTTCAACTTTAGGATTTTTTTGTGTCGAAACTATCCATTGTTGGTCAAAACGGCTCACATGTCCCTATCTCAACTTTTGATTCTCTATTTATTCATATTAAATCGGGACAGATACAGGGTGGTTTAAGATTCAGAACTCTGATCACCCTGTATCTGTTCCGATTAAATATAAGTAAATAGTAAATCAATAGTTGAGATAGGGATATGTGAACCGTTTTGGCCGATAATGTATAGTTTCGACACAAACAAATCCTCAAGTTGAAAAATCTCGATTTTGAACACCCTATATCTCTGTAATCATTTCCGATAGACCCATGTTTGGTATATTGATGAAATCAGCTCTTCAGGGAGAATTTAAAAATGCAATGAAATACAGGGTATTCCATTTGAAATAACAAAGTTGTTGCTACTTTTTGATAGAAGCGGCAGCACTGCATTGCTGAAATTATTTTAAATGAAGAGAACGTATTGTAAAATATAAGCATGCATATTTCCATGTGTTTCTCCCGAATGATTCTCGATATAGAGATAGTGTAAGGTCGTCGTGACATACCCTGTATATAGGAAGGGTATATCTCGTGCACAAATGAATCTGCGCCATCGAAGTGGTTGATTATTGTTGATTGTTTATATTTTATCAACTAACCAAGACTTAAAATTTTAATAATTAATAATCAAGGTACTGAATTGTTGAGTTTCTTTTAAAAAACTCCCATGGTGAGAAAATTGAAGGTAATGGATGGAATTCCACCCATTATTCTCGAACATTGTGCACCAGAATTGACACCGATTCTCTGCAAGCTATTTACCATATTTTCCTACAAGTCGGGTATGTTTCCATATTGCTTAAAAATAGCTGGAGTCCAACCAATCCCCAAAAATTCAGAGCCTGCCCAACAACTATAGGCCAATTGCCCTGTTATCGGTCATCTCCAAAGAGATAGAGGAAGCCATCAACATTGAGCTTGCGACAAAGGCTGTCAATGAAGATCTTGCGGAAATTACAGCCTGGGGAACCAACAACCTAGTTGAATTCAATGCCACCAAAACACAAATCTGTATTTTCTCTAGAAAGGCAGATCTCAGTATGCCTGATATAACAATGTCTGGTACCACCATTCCCACCAAGACCACTAGGTGTATTTACGCTCGGTTTTACCACAGATTAACAAACTGTGGTATTACCATCAGCAATACTCTCTATCTATCGCAAAAGCTGCTTCACAACAACACGATTTCTTGTTCCGTGAGCAGCTTCTCATGATCTACAAAGCACAGATCCGGCCAGTTTTACAATACTGTTCTCATGTATGGGGTTCATCACCCAAACAGAGAAGAGCCATTCGCCTGGTGGGTGATGCCACGCTCACCAACTCTTTGACCCCATTAGATAACCGTAGAAAAGTCGGTGACCTCGCACTTTTCTATAGATACTTCCACGAGAAATGTTCCTCAGGAATCTCTGCTATAATTCCATCACTAACTATACCAGTCAGACGAACTCGACAGGCCCAGTCAGCACATCTCTTCGTCGCTAACCTCGAAAAATGCCAAATGCCAAACAAAACTTTACCAACACTCGTTCATATATAGAAGCTTTGAAATTCTTTGCCAATGGAAGTACTCCCAAGAACTTATAGCCTCCTAAAGTAAAAAAAAGTTCCGACACACCTACCTCCTCCCCCTGTCCTCTTTAAGTACGCGCGATATTCCACGAACATTACAGGAATTTCCTTGCGTGCGCTCCAAGAGATAAAAAAAAGAATACCATGGAATTATATTGAAAGAGAGAGACGTTAACAACCGACGGAGAAAAAACAAAGAATCTGCTTGCAGTTTTCTGAACGGTTTGATCAACATTGCTTCCTGTGCAGTTGATATAGATAGAACATCGTACTTACTCCTGAAAATCTAAGTAGGCAAATAATTGTAAATTTGAGATCAATAGAAGAACATCCTGTAACTGACACATTTTCTGACAAGTTCTGTCATTGAAAAGTGTCAAAATACAGAAATTAAGAGATCAATCTCAAGAATAATTATTATTCTTCATTTTTATGTTGGAAATGGAAGTAGATTCGTTTCCAAAACTTACAAAGATATGTGATAAGTGATAAATATTTCAAAAACAATTGAATTCAGGAGTAAAGTGTATCAGAGAAAACTGTTGACAATTATGAGCAAATTTCGAAAATGGAATAATAAAAAAAATATATTGAAGATGGCGCTCAGCCGCCATTTTGGAACTCTCGGCTTAAATTTTTTCATGAAAAAAATTTCGTTGCGATATACTAGGTGGATCAAAAATTAGTAGGAGGGACACGGATTTTTGACGGGCACTGTATATGATCCATTGTGGCAATTTCACTGAATCGAAAATGACAGTAACCCTGCTTCTGTTAGTCCGATAATCACAAACTAATTTTTTGCTTGATTGGCATGACCACAATAATTGTTTCCCACATAAAATGAATCCAAGTCCATAGGGCGATTTTTATAACAATGTATTTCCCAATTTTTCTTCATTCTCACAATAAATAGTGCAATTTGATGGATAATTCTGAACAAACATACTAAATATTAATAATAATATAATAAGGATTTAAAACAAAAATAAACCGAGCTTTTAAAAATACACTCAGGTCAAATAATACGCAGAAAACACAAATTTTAGTGATGAAATAACAAACTCTTTGTACATTTTCAATATCAGACTGGCTTTCATAAGAAAGTTGACCAATTTTTTACACTCACCATTTGTCTCTAAGGTAATCTAATCTATCGAATTCACATGGTTACCATCTATCGTACTACAGGGTATCAAAGTTTCCATAAAAAATCGTTTTTCCATCAATTACTGATGGTGGGTTTGTTAACCCGAGAATGGTCGCGCGTCGGTCTTTTCGACCGACGATTACCGAGTTCTGTTCTTTTATTGTTACATGACATTCTTTGCGTATCCCCTCTTCAGTACCTTCCTGATTCACCATAGGCAAGCCTAAATTCGTCAGTCGAGCTATTTAGACACTGTACCTAGTGGGGATGGGTGTGCAATCTGTCTATTCGACGAGTAGCGACCGGTAGTGTGCCGTTTTATTTCCACATAAATTTCTTTGTATAACATGAATCTATAGATCTACAATGGCTGGTGCATATGGAAAAGAAGTTAGAAGGCTCCAGAGGCTCTACGGGGAAGTCGATTCAGATGAGGAGCCTTTTGTAGGTGGAGAAAGTGATTCTGAGATACATCAAGGAGATGATATACTCGAAGAAAGTGCCCATTCAACTGACACAGAACAATCGGCTGGCTCAGAGAACGATTCTGATAGACAACAACCAGCAAGATCACAAAACGTTCTAGGGAGTTGTGCATACTGTTCATCAAAGAAAATTCATCAAAATGCGTTCATTGTGCAGGAAATGACAGTATGCAGCAAGATTAGTTAGTCCTACCTAGTATACTTAGTTAACTATTCCTGATTTATTATCCTTGTAAGTTCGAATATAAGTTTTTGTTTATTACTATAGTTCTATACATATCATCCAATGAATGATATAATAAAAGCCACTTTAGATCACTTTGGAAAACTTGTTTCTATCACGATAACAGCTGTCGGTCTAAAAGACCGAAGCGCGACCGATGACGTAAATTTTCACCACGCGACCACTCTCGGGTTGATATCAACATTCAGTTTCTTTAGAAACTTTAGAACCAGACTCAATTTTGGCATCATGTAAGCTTAAACAGGGGGTCATGAAAAATTCAAATTTCAACATTCTGTATCTCCAAAACGAAGGGATTCCTAATTTATGACAAGGAATCACCTCTTGAATTCTTTAGCACTTACTAATTCACACCCTGTATATCAATCAAATTTTGTTACAAATATTTCATGTTATAAGAACAGCTCACCATTTCTGCCATAATACATCCTAAGCTCCAAACATCGATACCGGTGCAATACATCTTTGCCCCCAGAAGTAGTTCAGGGGCCCTATACCACATGGTAACGACCTCATGGGTATATGTTCTTGTGGGAAGTGAAAAGGACCGTGATAATCCGAAATCTGCCAATTTGATGTGACCCTCTTTGTCAACTAGGAGGTTTTGGGGCTTCAAATCTCTGTGCAAGATCCTGTGTGAGTGTAAATAAGCTAGGGCTTCTATGAGTTGTTTCATATAACTCTAAAAATAAGAACTAAAAAACATGACAACCATGATGTGATGTTTGATAACACAGTTCAAATTAATTGCTCATCACTAGGGGTATTCTGGTTTTTGAAGATTGGAAGTCGGACAAAACTCACATATTTATCAAGGAACAAAATGTTACAAAAAATTCAACAATTTAATCAAACACAATATGAATACATTCAATCACCATAGCATTCAAAAACCTTAATATACATAGGAAAAAAGTGGTAGAATTTATCTCCAGGTTGTGTTGTCTCAATGTATACAATGTTCTTGATAGTTCAGTCAAATTATAGGAATTGAAAAAATTCAAGATAATTGCCAAAAATGTTCTTCTCGAAAACTGTTTTTACAATAGCCAGCTCTCTCAGAGTATGGACTGTAATTAGTCATAGATTAAAAAGGCCAATTTAGTAGATGTAGGTACTTACTTTCGGTCACTGATTGATATTTAATTTTGTTTCTCTGTCCGAACAACAAACCCCCATTTGTCTATATCATATCTCTAGTAATTTACTGTTTAATTTCTAGATTTATGTGAATCATTGGCACTGAGCATTCACAGAATTTTTAATGCAATTTTATTCAGTTTGAGTGTCGATATTTTAACATATTTTAAAAATAATCACTACTGTACTTCTCTGACCTGCCATAAACTTATCTGTATAATGTAACATGGTTGAATGAATTAATCAATTTAAAAATGGCATCTAGGAACACCTCTCTTACTAGTTACAGGTCATTATAGTTTTACAAATTACATAATACCAGAATACTTTCAGAAGTACCTTAAAATCAATAAAAATATTCATAATTATAACACACGTGGCAAAAATGACATCTATGTTTCAGCACTTCCTATCGTAGTACCATGAATTCACTATTTTTCAAAGGATTTTTGGAGTTCAATAAATTGTCAGAGTCTGTGAAGGGATCTGCTTCACTCATCCAGTTCAAAGCTAATTTGAAGGAATTCATCCTAAATAAGTAGCTAAGTAAGATCTTCATGGTGTATTCCATAATATATGTCTATTTAGTATTTTATCTTTTTTATGTTTATATTGCCGTTTATTGTTATTCTACTGTTTTTAATCTTATTATTCTACTTTCATCGTAGGTATTTCATGATAGTCATTTTAACATTTCTGTTCTGCAATTGTTCAACTCAGTTTTCATCTCTGTATATGTGTATATATATTGTAATATGCCTTCTTATTTAATTATGTATATTAGGGTTCCTAATTAAATAAAGATCTATCTATCTATCTAATATCGGACGTAATAATTATATTATTGATTCAAACCTGTATCAATTTAGTGAATATACCCTAGTTTGTACAATAGTAATATATGGGTAACCTATTAACTGAACTATAATATATGCTATATACAAGTATCTAATTGTTTTCCTTTTAAATCCAACCTCCTAATCTCCTAATGCTAACTGTACAAATCATAACTTCAGTGGAATGCGAGATTTCAACAAAGCTTTGAATTTTTTCACACCTTCTCTTTTTATATGTAATGGTATTTTGTTGTACTCTGAAACTCCTTTATGAAATATTGAACTGATTCCATAGTTCGTCATTACTCTTGGGACTTGAAAATGTCTACAGTTTAGAGTATTATATCCGTGAATTTCCTCTCTAGTTTGGAATGTAATTTGTGAAGGTCTAGCACTATTTACTATCTGATGCATGAATACATTGACTTGAAAAGTATATAAACTTCCCAGCTCTAATACACAATATTGTTGTTGTCTGAATGTTCATATAGATTCAAAGTTGAATATCTTGATGGCAGGTTATATAAGTTTCTAATTGATTTGTTTTGCAGGATTTTAAGTGGTTTTAAATAACTCTCATATGTATTACTCCAAATTATTGTCAGATATTGCAAATGTAAATGTATTAGGGAAAAATACACAGATCTCAGAATGTAACTTGGGACAGAATAGCTTGATCTTCTCAGAATACCCACTGGCCCAACAATTTCTTTTCAATATGTTCTAGATGTGCTTGCCAGGATAGTTTTGTATCAATTATCAGTCCCAAGAACTTAATTTCATTTTTATATTGAAGTGATCCACTTTGACAAGTTATTTCATTCTCAACATAATCATGTACAGTGCTTCTGGTTATCCACATAAAAGATGATTTTTAATATTCAGAGTAAGTTTATGGCAGACGGCAGAGTAGCCATTTTATCAGCTGTGATAAATCTCGTTTGATATTCTCGATAACTGTGCGTATCACCGAAATATGCAATAGTGGTATCATCCGCATATAGTATAACATTTCCAATAATTTTCAAGTTTGCTATAGAATTTATGTATATTGAGAAGGGAGTGGGGTCCAGGATAGAGCCTTGTGGTACACCACATTTCAAATTTGTGTGATCACTTTCACATTCTTTTATATAAGTAAATTGCATTCTACTGGTCAAGTCGTTCTGAAACCAGCTGCTACAGTGACCCTGGACACCAATCAACTCCATTTTTTGTTCAGAATTTCATAGTTCACCGTATCAAAAGCCTTACATAGATCAAGAGATACAAGAGCACATTTTAGTTTCTTTACAACTTTCATCTGTAATGTTGATATAAGGTCTACAACTGCACTACTAGTATCGCTCGATCTGAGAAAGCCATATTGGGAGGGTGTCAAAATCTTATTCATATCTAGATATTTCACGTGTATTGATTGTCTTTATTACCCCAAGAAACAATAATATACAACAAAACATATATAAAACATAATAAATCGAAACAATAATAATTGCACAATTATTGTTTTTCATAAAAAAATTATAATAAAATATAAACTGAAAATATTATAATCCATTACAAGTAATCAAATTGTGAATGATTAGTAGATATGGAATTAAAGTTTACTGAGCAGATACTTCTTTAATTTGCTTTTAAATTTATCTGTTTCTTCTATATTTTTCAACTCATTAGGTAAGGATTTATATAAAATTATTCCATTATGGAATATTGATTGTTTACCAAAATTTGACTGATAATTATTTGCTTTCAATAAATTGAATTGCCTTGTTTCATGGGCGTGAATCGTATTAACTTCATTAAAATTCAAATTTGATATTTTCAATTCCTTTCTGACAAAATGAATAAAACAACAAATTTTCTGTTTATATAATGAAACTAGATTCAGCGAGTTTGTATAGATTCACAGTTGATTCTAAAAGAGGTAAATTGAAAATGCACTTTGTTTTATTTTGTAATTTCATGAGTGGCTTCAAACGTGAAATATTTGTACTACCCCAAATAGATATTAGATATTGTAAATTTGAATAAAAAAGACAGAAAAGAATACTCTTTAGGTATCTAACAGGAATGAAATTTCGAATTTTATATATAATACCAGCAATAGGATTCAATATTTTCCTCAAATGATCTATATGTAGAGTCCACGGTAATTGTTCATCAATATAAAGACCTCAAAATTTTGTTACATTTGTTTATTCAATGGATTTGTTATTGAAACATATTGGGATATTATTCAATATATCCGTTGTTCTTCTTGAGATTTACATATACGTAGATATACTATAATTATTGAGTTAATGTAAATTTAAAATAAAATTAGCCCCAAAACTGACCCTTGAGGTACACCACATGTAATATTCATCTAGGACCTAACTACAAGTATTATTCACATCAACATACTGTTTCCTATTCTTCAAATAATTTTGAAACAAATCATAAATTTTTCCTCTGACACCTATTGATGATAATTTAGTCAATAAAATATTATGATTTACAGTGTCAAAGGCCTCACAAAGATTCAAAGACTGAATGCCGCATTTGTCATTGTCATCTATTCGTAACTGAATATCTGAAATGACATCCGTCACAGCTACCTCTATGTCTTTTGACCTACGAAAATCATATTGTTCACTAAACAATGGGCCATTATTTTCAAGGTAATTTATTAGACGGTTATTCATAATTTTTTCTAAAATTTTGGAAAAGATCGGGAGAACAGAAATTGGTCTATAATTATTTAAATCATCTTTATTAGTTGTTAACAATTTTCTCAATGATTTTGGATAGAATAAGAAGAACAGAGACAGGGTTTAGATAATTGTTTACATTGTCTCGGTAACCAGCTTTAAACAATGGAGACACCTTTGCAATTTTCATTTTGTTCGGAACTAACCCGCATTTGAGTGATTGATCAACTAATTTACACATAATCCCTTTCACCCCATCTTTGCAATCTTTAATGGTTTTAGTGTCAATATCATCATATCCAGATGCTTTTGGAATCTGCAGCTCATTCATGATTTCTTCAATGTTCCTTGGTTGTACTTGTGTGAATTTAAATGTTGCTCCACATGTTATTTCACCTGTCATATTGATGCTGTGGTCTGGAATTGATGATGCTAGGTTAACACCCACTTCAGTGAAAAAGTTGTTGAAGATCTGGCACATTTCTTGTGGATCAGAGATGCTTGCTCCTGCAGAAGAGATGGTATGGAGTTTGCTGATTCCAAGCAGCTGTTATTTAAAACCTGATTTACTACTTTCCATGTTCATCTTGGGTCCCCTTTTGTACCATCAATTTTTTCTTCATAGAACTTCTTTTTCAATGCCTTCTTTGTCTCTTGGTGAAGATTTTCTAGGCAATCATTGTCTGCATCATTTTTCAGTTTTTTTTTAAATAATAATCCTGTCGTTTTATCATTGACAATACTTTCATTGTGAACCAAGGCTTAATGTGAGCTCTGAATCTGTTTCTGAATTTTTTGTAAGTGGTATTCAAACTGAAACACTGAACAATTTTTTCATAGTTGTCATTTATAGTTTCCTTATCTGTATAAGTTTTGTCAAGTTCCAGTAGATCCAGTTTCAATCTATCTACATTAATTTCCTTTTTTATGTCAAATGGTTTCCGTGATCCTTTGTTGCATTGAATACTAGTTTGCAAAATCTGTATTTCATGATCACTAATGTTGTTGCTTACAATAGATAACTCCATGATGTCATCGACTTTTGGGCTAATCAGGCAATGATCAATAAGGCTTTCTGAGTGCTTTGTGATTCTAGTGGGTAACAATTCATTGAGTATAATAAATCCGTTACTGAGACTGATATCTTTATAGTTCTCTATCTCTGGACTTTTTCAAAATGTTGAAATTAGTGTCGTCCGTCAGAATAACATTTTTGTTGGTTAGATTTGACAACTGTTGCTCTAAAAACTGCAAGAAATCTCCACTATTTCCAGCTGGTGGGTTGTAAATGGCTCCAATATATTTGTCAAATTTCTTCAAGTGTATTACCACATATGACCACAGTTCATTTGATTTACTTATGATATTGGATTGTAAAGAGTTTTCCATATATATTGCAGAGCCACCACCAGACTTTAGCCTGCTTGAGAAAACTGCTTCAAATCCTGGTAAATTATGCTGCTCTTCTTCTAGTACCCATGTCTCAGAAATTACTAGTATAATATTTCAACTCTGTCCAATTTGTTTTTTATAGATCTTGAATTCAGGTACATAATCTCAAGGCTAGATGAATCAGTAGAACTTTCTTTGAGGTCACAGCTATAGCTGCTTATGTCTAGTTAAATAAACTACTTTACTCTACTCTACTCTACCACATATCCCATACTATTATTTGCTATTATTTGGTTACTTTCTCTTGGATATTTCTATTCAATGGAACAGGGTATGATATTGCAATTTCTAGTAAGTGTTGTATAATGATCACACTATATAGAATACTATGGAATATGATTATAGTGTGCTGAATGGTAGTCATGGTAAATGAGATGTGAACGGACTAAATAATGAATAAACATAAAAACTGTCTGACTCTGAATTATCTATTTGAATATTTAATAGTAAGTATGCATGAGTTGGAACACAAAATACCTATTCATGGAAATATGTGATAATCCTCATGTAAAAATGTTTACTCAATTCAAATAAAATCTATGCATAACTAGCAAAATCAATTTATTTGTTGTTCTGAAATTGTTCTAGCAGTCATTTGATTGCCACCTTATGAGTAACCCTCAGAAGTCTTGAAGGGACTTGTGCAACAAGGAATGACGGGGGTCTTACCTTTCAATGTGTGATCCCAAACACTTTCTTGGGCCATTAGAAAATTTTCTGCATTGGGAATTGAACACACGACCGGCAAACGAACGCGGATTAGAATATTGACGCTTTGTTCACGGGGCTACCTGGCCACCAATTAATTCATTAGATTTTTATGAAATGAATGAACTCCATGGTCAATTATGCATATGAAGGAATAAATATGATGCAATTCAAGATGCAACATAGAATGATTCTCATGTGGTTTGTTGCTTTTTCTTCAATTTATGATGATAGTCAGCTGAAGGTGTTGCACCATCAACTAACACTTGTGGATTTTCATGGCTTATGACATTTTTCTTTCATTAGTTTTGACTAATGATGATATGACCTTATTCAAAATAGTAAAATAAAATATTTCTATTGGTGCAAGGAATATGAGCTTTTAGAACTAGAAGCAAATGATGTACATTGTTACAGAAACATGGAAACCTCAATTTCAATTTCATGAAAATGGTGGGATATGACCAGTTAGAATAGGGCCATGATTTATCTGATTTTAAATGAGACATCATTAATTTTTGGTAAAATATTAAGATCTGCCATATTTTCATCAATTTGAGAAATGAGAATTCTAACACTTATTGTTTTGAATTGTAAATTAACCAATGACTGAATTACACCTTGGTACTTTGTAGTACAATTACAGTCAATTTTTATGTTAATGGAGCTCTCCATTTACAAAGTGGCCACAAAACTCCTCAAATCATGTAGTAAGTATTTTTCAGTATTAAATATTTTCTCCAATGCTTCCATGGAACTTTTATTTACCTAAAAGGTCTTTACAAAAACCAACTGAGTATTTCTCAGACCAAAACTTGATACAAGCAAACTTACCTCAGTCCAAAGTTGCTTAGTTTGGGTGCTAGAGGACTCTGAAGCTACAAATTTCAAATTGTGTTCACTTTATAACTTTAAAACAGCCCATGAGATTTCACTCAAATTTGGTATGTACCAATTCATGGGCGTAGAACTTGATTTTTTCAGTACATAAACGCATGATGCTCCATGAACATTATAATAAATTTTAGTAATTCAAAGCATCAGTCAACATCAAAACAATCCACAGATATTTCATAAAATTGTTAAAAATGTTCATTATTCCCATACATACATTTATGATGAAAAAAATTGAAATGTGCGTTCAGCTATTTTTTTTTTCTGTACTGAGTGAGGAGTGAGCTAAAGCCAACTAGCACCCAGACTGAGAAACTTTGTACTGAGGAGAATGTGTGCTTGTATCCATTTTTCTCCTCATATAAATATTCCTTTACATGTGAAAATTATGAATATTTTGAACAATTTTTATGGAATATCTGTTGATCCTTCTGGTGATGACTGATGCTTTGAATTACTAAAATTTTAATTTCTGCAAAACCATGAGAGTGAATGAATTTTATCAAGAGTACCTTTTTTGTAGTAAACAAGTTATACAATTGAAATTTAATATTCAAAATCCTCTCTTTCCATTGGTTTAGAAGTTCTATATATGATTATTTACTTAAAAAAAACAGTTCTATGCCCATGGAATGAAATAGAATGAAATTCATCTTGATCATGATATGAGTAAAATTACATGCCCCATTTTAAAGTAATGTAGTAAAAACAAATTGTAAATTGTAACTTCAGAGCTGTCTACCACCCAAACAAAGCAACTTTGTACTGAGGTGAGTTTTCTTGCATCAATTTTTTTGCCTGAAGCATGATTCTGTAAAGACGTTTTAGGGGCACCCTTTACATTATTGAGAGTATACCATGAAATAAGTAGTAACACCCTTTCATTTTGACTTGCATCACAGTTTACTGCTAAAAACTATGCTTGTGTTGAATACTGCTGCAAGTACAAGCCTGTGTGTATGTCAAGGTGTATGTATAATTCGAGACTTATAGAAAATGAATGAAGCAAAGAAAGTTATGAATATTCCATTGAATATTTGAATAACTTTCACTTATATTACAACTGATAGTATTTGTGAAACAAAAGTGAAGGAAACACAGAGCACAAGAAGAAATAAAAGGGCAGCATCCTCATGAAAATCAAATTAATAATTATATTATAGGTCCTATAATTATAATCAAATTATTTGAATAATTCTCACACTTACCCTAACCAGTTCAGCTTCTAAGGGCATTTCAGTGTTATCAAGGTAGCGTTTCAGATCTAGATCTAAATATTCAAATACAAGGTACAGCTTGTCTGTTGTTTGCATGACATCCAATAGTTCGACAATAGAAGAATGTCGGAGTCCCTTTAGTAAACTGATTTCCCGTATTGCTGTAGGGGGTACACCTTCTGAATCTCCTTTGTGATAGAATCTGTTGGAAACAAACATTGGTTAGCATGAAAATATGGAATATGATCAATCCCAGCTTTATTACTTACACAATAGTTAGTGATGAATGTAAGCAGGACTATAAGCTGAATCATGTGGTGCTACGAACACAACCAACGTAGAGAACACACAATTCAGCTGGAAATCCTACCAATTAGTACATAGGCATAATATATTTTCCAAGTTCCAAGAGAATTTACCTGGTATTCAAAGCAATGGTGAATGATAATGATGAAAGTATTAGAAAGCATTCATAGATTTATGAACCCAACAAACAACAAATTACTTCTTGAAATGATGATCTACTTACTTTTCGAGTTTAATCCTTTTAAGTGCAACATTTTTTCCAGTAATCTTATTCTTTGCTTTGTAGACTACCCCATAGGTACCTTCTCCAGCTCTACCTAGCTTAATAAACCTATCCAATTTGTCCATTTATGGCTGAAAACTTATGGTTCTTTGGTTTCGATAACGTCAAACGTACATCGAACAAAAAGCGGGAAAAATATTGCCCTTAGTAGATATGCCATTTTCCATTTTTGTTTACGATTTTTCGATGCGCATGCGTGACGTAATATTAGTCAATAAACAGGAAAGCACTACTGCCAACAAAACCACTCAAAAACAAACTCACCATGTCTAGTACAACGATACCGTATCCGTATTTCAACTTGAAGAGTAGTACCAAAGCCTACTATTCTTTGGTAGTACACTAGTAGTAGAGCATTTCTGTGAAGCTGGTATGAGGCAACTACGTCAACATTAACTATTTACGAAAACCTATTTTTTCCACTGTACCCACTACCACAGTTCACCCAGGTATCTTTTCTCCGATAGCCATTCCATACATTTTTATTTCGAATGATCCCATTATATCCTCCATTTTTCACATTCATAATATGTTAACAAATATTCAAGTTTACCTTCCACCACCTTCACCAACTATGGAGTTGGTAAACCATAGGACAGGAAGGACGAGCTTCTCCCGACACAACCATCTTGGCACATCCAAAGTCAAATATTGTACTACATGAAGCTAATTATTGGAGCCAATTTTTGAAAAGAACTCCGTAATATTTATCTTGTCAATATTTTGGTACGAGACAAAAAGGTCTCTTCAATTAAGGTGGCAATGAGGAAAAGATTTATTTCCAGAGAAAATTAATTAGACATTGGACTATTGATTTTAGTACAAATGAAAAATGTAATAATTTTCAGGCATATAAATGTTCAACACTTCAATAAACTATCGATATCTAGAACAATCTCTGTTATGACTAGGTTTTGAAGGAATCCTAAAAATTAGTTTTATTCAAAGGACTACCGATTATATCTTTTTGCTCAAGAAAACTTGGTTTTTTGAATATTAAAGCATCTTTGGTTCTTTTCGTCATCGTAGAAAATAGACACACTTGCTTTTTCAATAGTATCAATAATGATTTGCTTCGTTTCAAAATTAATAGTCTTTCCTTCATTCATTGTGTCCATAATTCTATAGCAATTAATCAGAATAACTCGATGTTGTTCTTCAATTAGAGATTGATGCATCACACATCCTATTATTAATTCACACCTCCTTTTTATATCTTCCATTTCAAATATAAAATTATTAAATATAAACTCAATTGACCTTGGATGTGCCAAGATGGTTGTGTCGTGAGACGCTCGTGTGAGGGTGGTGTACCCCAACGGAAATGACGTCACGGTTAAACAAAATGAAATGGAATTATCAGCTATAACTGAGAACCATGACGGGTTATGGGATTGAAATATCCCTTAGTATTGACATAGTATTGACTAGAGTCACTGGATGGTATTAGTTTGATAAGTACTGACCATGTACTGAAAGGTATATCCCGTCGGATAGTCTAGATATTTAGCCGTCAATGGTCTCGCGTCTCTCTGCCGTAGTTCAGGGGCTTACTAATTTATTTACCGAATCGAAGTTAAAAAATTATTGTACAATCTGCAAAATACTATCATGATGTTTGAAAATTAGGAATACGGAAGTAAAGGAAATAAAACATCAATCAAATATAAAATAATGGCTAACTTGTAAGCTGATGTACAGTGATGCCCAATAAATAGGTAACGACTCTTGTGAAAATCCCTTTAAAAATTCGGTGTATGCACCCGGACTAATATCTATTACAACCGCCCGCTGTTTCAATAACTTATTTCTTATTGTGGTTTGGGGTACGAGATTGTCAGGTTTATCTCTGAATATTTCTAAGATTTCGGGCTAATATTCACATCGCTAGAGTATTATTTTCTACTTCATTTAATGAAGCTGACTAAAAAAAACTGACCAGCATTATCATCGATATTCATTGTTCGATTCTAGTTGACATGAAATAGATAAAGAACTTGTTGAATATAAAGCGGTATCGGTACAATTTCTTTTTCAAATTAGAGTTTGTCGTTAGTATATTCCTATTATGAACAATAATTGTGAATTGATATTTCGACTATTTCAATACCAGTTCAGTAAGGAAACAATTGGAATAGTATAGCACTGAAAAATATATCCATTTTCATTCGCCTCTAAACCTACCATACATATTTTATTTTCTGAGTGGTCATCGCTCCGAAAAATACGAGGGTTTTGCGGTTTTCAACCTCACACAATGTAATTAGGTTTGTAAATTCTAGCAAAAATAATGTCGAAATGTTACCATGGCCTGCCCGAAGTCCCGACCTGAACCCTATAGAGATATATGGTGAAGAGTTTGTACAAAGGCAATTGCCGGGCTATGAATAGAGACGAACTTGCAAATGATATAAGGAGAGTTTGGGACGAACTTCCTGACGATTTGACAGCAAATGTAAATCAATCTATGCCAAATCGATTGAGAAAAGTTATATATGCAAATGGTTCCTATTCTAAATACTGACAGTATTCGACAGTGGCGTAGCACTCGATTGAACCGGAAGTAAGTAGAACTTCCTTTTTTATAATGGACCATCACAAATTTCTTCATAATTTCGACTCATTTTTATCATTCTATGATATAAACCGTGATAACATTCTTTAATTCATATTTTGAAGCGTTCAGCATTAATATTTTTAGAAATGTATTAGTTTCAACTGTGACATTTGAACATTTTGATTGAAATTTCATTGCCAGATAGAGATTCATTCAGATCAATTCTTCATATACAGTGTGTCCACTGTAAGAGCGTACCATTCCTGTAAAATCGTTATTATATGATCGATTCTGAAAACATTGTTCTTGTTGGATAGGTATTTGGAATTCCCATCCAACAAGAAAAATGATTTTATTCTTGAACTGTTTTCATGGCTAACTGTGAACAATTTTATTGAACCATACTTCAAAAAATACAATGAGGGATTTTTTCACTAAGAATACCGATGGATTTTGCATCAGGGTAATTCAAAACATACCTATACCAATTTTCATCATCAAAAAACATAGGGTGTTCCAAAGAACGATTTATTATTATTTTTTAATACTCGATCAGAAGATTTAGTATACTATGGGATAATTGGGTAATCACAAATTATTATTGAGGACCTACTTCAAATATATCTGTACTGATTTTTATAATTCGAATATCCAATGTGTCTGAGAAAAAAAAATAAGTAGGCAATGTTTTCATCATGATAGTTCTTTACCTGGAAAGTAATGACGGATTCTCATTCAAGATCATTCGGAATATACCTTTACTGATTTTCATCATCATAAAACGTTTTTTTATCTTCACATTTATGCATATTTGAATGATAATAATCAAGACCAATATAAATTCGACATCAGTTCTTCCCAAAAATACCACAGTACCTACTATATTTTCTGATCAAGTATACAAAAAAAATAGTAATCCGTATTTTCAGACACCCTATATATGTCCTATGATGATGAAAATCGGTACAGGTTTATTTTGAGTGATCTCCGTACCGAATCCATCATTAGTTTTAGTGAAAAAAAGCCTAAATAGTAATTTTTGAAATATGGGTCAATAAAATTGGTCGCAGTTGGCGACGATAAAAATTTAAGAATAACATAACTTTTTTGTTGGATGCATATTTCAAATACCTACACAACATAAAAAGTTTTTTGAAATCGATCAAATAATACGGATTTTACAGGCGGTGGTAAATTCTTTAAGTGAACACACGGTATATATAGCACGTGGTCACCGAACATAACACAACATAATACCAAAATGTTTGATGTGTATTTTTGACTGTGTTTTCGAAAATCCTTCTTTATAGCTGATCGATATTTCTTTGTGCTGATATATTCAACAGTATAAAATGTAATTTTGGTTTGTAAATCTATTTTACATGGTGATAATAATCACACAGTAGATATCCCTGTTTATGGAATTCATATTTCCACTCCAAAGTGCATTATGTGAACCAGTTCTCTCTAGTGAGAAATCATGATTTTCAGTGTTTCAGTTAGGTATAGAGAAAATAATTTTTAAAAATATTCTCAAAAGTAGTAATTACTCCGAAACAGTTGAAATTGGTATAATAAATCACCTGATATATTTTATGGTTCATATCAGAGTAATATATAGAATCATAAAGAAGAAGGGAATTCTATTTACTTCCCGTATTTGGAAGTGCGCTATGCCAGATTTATCCTCGGATTCACCCAAAATGTTCCGAGATTTATTCAACTCAGCATAATTTTGAGAATGAATGGACTACCCGAATATACCTAAAATTATATAATTCAGTACTATATATTCATAATTTTATTACAATTTTATCGATCGTTTTCTCCTGGTTATACAGGGTGTAATTTAATTGATAGTTAAAAATATAGGATATGATTCCTAACCTCATTTTGTGAAGAAAAGTTCATATGAACATATGCCCTGAAACTAGTTCTAGTTCAGTATATTGAAGTTAATTTTCCTTGAAAATTCCAACACCCTATAGCTCGGATGTTGAGAGGTTTAGGGCATATGTTCATGTCAACTTTTCTTCTTGAAATGATAGCTGAGGAACCATATCCTTCATTTTTAGCCATAAACTTAATTACACCCTGTATAGTTTGAAATTTATTTTAGTTTAGTTAGTTTGTTGTCATATATTATTATATATACATATATTATATTCAATAAATCATGGCATTGTTTTATGTTGTTTGTTCTGAGAATGTTGGTATATTCATACATTCCTATATTCTTTCAAATACTTTAGATCGGTTGTCGGAATATTTCGTATAACGTTCGTATATCCATATTATTGACTTATTCTTTCATACCATCAGGTCCGTCATTCTATATTTTCATATGGAATATTATCGAATTGAAGTT